ATTTCTACAAGTTCGCTTGTTATGTCCTCCCTGACCACATATGCTACATGAATGTTGATTTTTCGGCTGTAGCAATTCACTTAAAGTTTTATCTCGCTTCTTTTTTGGCCTTCCAGGAGGTCTTTTCCATTTGGGAGGTAGTACAACCTCATCTACAACATGTTGTGGTATATTCCAGTCATTTCTGTCCGGTAGCGGGATCACTGGCACACCGTATGTTATTACAATTGTATTTGGTTTGTAATAGTTAGAGCAATATTCTTCCGGAATTAGAAACTTGCTCTCCAATACAGCCCAAGCATGTGGGCATGGAAATTCATCAACTTGGAACCTCCCACAAACACATTTTCTCTCTAACAAGCATACCGTGTAGTTCCTCCCACCATCGTTAACCGTATGTAAGTATTCAGTTGATGGTANTCTCCCACCATCGTTAACCGTATGTAAGTATTCAGTTGATGGTACCACCTATATTTTAAAATAGAAATATAAGTTTTTGAGCATTAACAAATGTATATTGCTGAATTAATAAGTTACACACGACTGAAATATTTGCATATATACGAATACATCATATATTGTATCCATGATGCAAACATTACATATAATGTAATGAAACTATAGAAACTCTCATGTTCCTACTTTATGCAAGATTATGCAAACAGATCCACTAGAATCATATATATTGACATTAAGCATTAAAGTTTCTTTGACATACAACTTTGTTCCTTGTATTCTGATGTATTCCAAAAGTGTAGCCATCCAGTTTTTAGTTAAATTAACACAGATGTATGGAAAAATCTGTCTTTCATGATTTTTAGAATATACGTATTCATATGTATTAAAAACATGCCAGATTGTATTAATAATTAAAACTAATTTTATTCAGTTGTATTCATTTCGTTAATTCAAAAAACAATTAAGATATATCAAGCAATTACATTAAAATATAACTTACAGTCATACGTGTAGACAATCTCTCATTCAAAGTCAGCATCTCCTGGTATTTTTTCCCAAGAGTCGTGTATGTATGTGTAGCTTCTTTGCGGTTACTACAATTCCAACGTCCAAACATCTTTCTAACTTCTTCGAGGAAATTATTGCCTTTTCTTTAGCCCTCTACGCCAACATATAGCGAACATCCACACCTAAATCTGATTTCATATCATCAATAATATCCCTTGGCGTGTATTTCCTCTTATGGTTTGTAAGCTTAGGTCTTATCATACCACCGATAAGGCTGCTACTAGCCTGCCGCTGCTCATACACCTTGTCCTTCAGCGGACATGTATGGTTATCATTAAATTCCCTCACCTTGAATAGTTCTGATTTGTTAATGCTTGAAGCCTTAAACCTTCATTGACAATCTTCTGAAATACATAACAATGCATAGCTGCAAACAATTAACCATTCTACATTATATTAGAGTCACTGTTATGTTTTTATATCAGTAACATAAAACATCATATGTATCAGTAAAACGAGTATGAAAATTTTTGTGAAAATTCATATAGCAATCACATGGCCTTAACAGAAAAGACACATTGAATAGAACCTAAAGAGAACGAGAAGCCATTTCTTCATAAGATGTACAGAATTTATTTACTTTAGCACTGGGAAGTCTATGTTACTACCGCCTTCAGTAACCCAAAAAGCTTTCTTGCTCTTAGTATTTGTTCCTCCAGCAGTTCAGCTTAGAGAAAAATAATGGAACTTTTCTGAAAATTGAAATATCGCAACATGGCAAGTCTCCAAACATCACTGTTGTCTTTTTATATCAGTAACATACATTTCGATACATGTATTTAAGGACCCTTAACACACACATGTTTACTTCAAATGTGATCACGATGTTGAGAATACACAAATACACATAAATACAAAAAGTAATACTTATAGCACCATCTAGTGATTGAAAATTCAATGGAATTTTTTTTGAATACGTACAAAGCTTACAGCATTAGACCTGTCAACCCGGAATTGAAACCTTTGAGCTATAGCATAATTCTCCATCACCTCTTTCAATGTAGCCTTATTCTTATAAACTTGTCCAGCAAAAACCTACTTTTGATCAGTTCTTGAAATTATCAAATCTTTGTGGATTTCGAACACTCCGATCGCTTCACCTGAATTGAAAACATCTAGAGCCATTGTATCATCTGTGTCAGACTCGCACCTTTGAACTGCTTCATCTATTAGCACAATATCCCCTTGATTTAAACTGCCTCCGGATATAAGATCTTTTTCGATAGTTGTTATGCATAAAGGATACATCCCAAATTCTCTATTCTCCTTTTTCAATTCTACATATACTCTGTAACCCATATCATTGTGTATTTTCATTGGCGTGGAATTTTCCTCTACTTTGTATTGTATTTTAATCATCTTTGAGCTCAAATTGATGCCCAGTTGATTAGAAATTGAAGCAACCAAATTATTAAAGGAGGCATACTCCTTTATCAGTATTCCCTCAATTGAAAAGTCGATGTAATTGCCCTCATCGCTCCACTTGTCAGAGTGACGCAACAAAACTGTTAAACATGCCATATGTATGGAGTAGTTATACCTTCGCTTGTATATAATTTGTATCAATCGAAAAGGAGGAGAAGAGAATGGAAGAAAATCGATCAGCTGTTGCTCTGTATTTTAGTTTTTTTTCACGTTTCTGGGTTTCTTTCTTAGTGCAGAATACAGATTAATGATGGATTATTTGAATTCAGTAAAATTAGGAGAGAATCGTGTGATTTGATTTCCTTCCGTTTAACCTTTCAGATATTGCGCAGTTACGTTACTACATTTAAGGTTAAATACACTTAAATACAGGTAAATACATATCTACATTAGCTGGCATTCCTATTTTTACGCCTATTTTTTTGTTGTATTATTGAATACAACATCTTAAATACATGAAATACATTGTATAAAAACATAAATGATATCTATAACACGTAATATAGCAAATGGTATCTATAAATGGCTATTTAGACCTAAAAGATGGTGCTTTATGAAAAATTCTCAAAAAAATACAGTCGTACATGGCCTTTTTTAGTCAAATGCGCTCCTATATGGTTAAATTGTGCGAAAATTTGACTAAATGTTTATTTATTATAAAATTTATCTGAAAAGCAACAAATAAGAGATTTACTTTTTGATTACTAATCGAGTAAAGCGATAAGGAAAAAATATAATGATGAGAAGAGACAATTCAGTCATAATGCATGTCCGAACAATTTAAATAAAAGATTAAATGTTATGATAAATATCACATTAGGGTGGATGTCTACTCTTCTTCCATGATCTTGATCTCAAATGCTTAATGACATATTCAATGACATATTTTGTATGTTCAATGACATATTCTATGACATATTTTCTTCACTTTTTATGCATATATAAAGGCCTTGTAATAGATAGGAAAATACACACAATTGAAGAAGAAAATCTCTTCCTTCTCTCTATCTCTATTTCTTGTTCATGTTTTACTAAATTGCTTTTATTTCTTGTTCATGTTTTACTAAATTGCTTTTATTTCATAACATTAACCTAAAAAATACGGAACCTTAATCTTATTAAGTGGGGAACCACTAGTGATCCAATTTGTTAACCAAATCTACAACTAATATGCTTTTGTTTAAGATCTCACATTTTAAATTCCTTATTTTCATAGCTGAATTTAAATGTAAGCTATCTAAGCAACGACATATGTGAGTATGTAGTTGCATAGATTACTTACATTTTTATCGAAATATTGTAGGTTAACAAAGTAAATCACTTATTATTCAACAAATAATTTGTACTAAAATATATTTAAACCAATATTAAGTTCACCATAGAAGCACATAACATATATATATATATATATATATATATATAATATGCAAAATCATCAAGAAAAAATTAATAATGTCATATACTGATATCGTCATCTGATGCTAGGTCTAGAAATGGCGCTAGGTGAAAGCGTTGCCATGCCCCTTAATGAATTGAGTGATCATTCGATCATTTTTTGATTTTGACGGCCAGCATAGATCTCATGGTATCTGCCTACTATTACTATGACAAAAGCCCTTCCTTTTCATTCCTTTCGCCACTTGAAAAGTAACTTCTTGTAATGACCCGACCTGTCATTTTGAGAGTTATAATCTCATTTCCTTCATCTATGCTTCTTTATGTATTGTTCAGCTGTGTTAAGTTGTATCGAGTTAGTAGGTTTGGGTTTGAAGTAGTTTTGGAGTGAAATGAACACTTAGTCTCTTAGTTAGAAAGCAAAGTTGGAAAAGTTAATCAGAAGTTGACTTATGAGTAAACGAATTCGGATTTGGATTTTTATGATTCGATTAGGTTCGTTGGGTGATTTTAGACTTAGGAGTGTATCCGGAATATAATTTAGAGGTCTGTGGTAGAATTAGGCTTGAATTGGCGGAAGTTGGAAGTTTAGAAATTCTTAGGCTTGAATTCGAGGTTGATTTGGTGTTTTGGTGTTGTTTTAGGTGTTACGGAGGTTCGACTAAGTTCGGGTAGTGATATATGACTTGTTGGAATTATTGGTTGAAGTCTCGTGGTCCTTGTGTGAGTTTCGGATAGGTTTGGGTTGTGTTGCACTCGTTTTTCTTATGTTTCGACTCCTCGATTTCTTTTTTGATTGAAGCATTAGATCCGTATCGTAATTACGAACCCGTAGCAAAAAGAATCGTCGAATTTGGACATCGTATGAGGATTTTATGGTCATTTTACTAAGAATTAGGTTGCCAAATTTTTTAGAGTAATTACAAAATTGCCACTGCCGGCATATTTAAAAATCTGCACTATTTGCAAATATTGAAACCAATATATCTCATTCATTATAAGGTCAAATTGAGAGATTCAAAAGCCTAACTTGACTAGAATATCACAAGGAATCCATTGGAGGCATAAAAAGTGAGTTTCGGGATCTTTTGGCATAAGAAACGAGGCAGAATAGCTGGCAGAAAAATATATAAAATAAGGATTTGTTCATTCGATCATATTTTGAGTTGGGGAGCTCGGATTTGGGCGATCTTAGAGGCGATTTTCAACCATATGGATTGGGGTAAGTGTTCTCTACTCAGTTTTGGTTATATTTCATGAATCCATCATCGTTTTTGGGATTGATTGATGATTTCAAAGTGAAATTATGGGAGTTAGGGTTTGAGTTTTGGAGAGTTTTAAGTGGGGATTTGAGGGACCAAACGGAGTCCGATTTTGATAAATTTTATATGGTTAGTGTCACGATCCGGATTTTTTACCCTCGGGAGTCATGATGGCGCCTACTAATGGGAGCTAGGCAAGCCAAACCTTAACTATTTTCATTTTTGCTTCCTTTTAGCAAACACAAGTCGATAATATGAAAAAAGCAAAATTTTAAATAAATAAGCGGAAGTCAACAATTATATATCTTAAGGATACGTCTATTATAACTTTTAAAACCTCAAATACCCCAAAATCTGGTGTCATAGTGTCACAAACTGTCTAAGAGTTACTACATACAAGGTCTGAAGAAATACAATACACCGTTTCTGAACAAAAGGAAATGAAACAGGAAATAGATNAGGAATCTTCACCAAGGCATGAATAATACAACGAAATCATGAAAATCACAATATAAGACCCACGATCATTCTTGACACCAACATATAGATATTCATCACCATGCCTATATGTCGTACTCAACAAGAAGCAAATAGCAAATAGGACACAACTCCTAATCCCTCAAGCTAAGGTTAGACCAAACACTTACCTTGATGCCTAGAACACAACTCAAGTTTCAATTATAGCTTTACCCCTCGATTCCACCGCCAATTCGCTCGTATCTAGTCACAAGTTACTTAATTACATCAATAAATGCTAAGTGAATCAATTTGAATGCATGAAAATGAATTTTCTAAAGTTTTACCCAAAAGTCAAAAATCGCCCCCAGGCCCATGTGGTCCAAACCGAGGTTCGAACCAAAACCCGATTACCCATTCCCCCACGAGCTCAAATATGTAATTTGTTTTGAAATCGGACCTCAAATCGAGGTCCAAATCCTCAATTTTTGAAAAACCTAGGTTCTACCCA